TGATGATATATAGGTTGTAGTATGGGGATAGGTTGTTGTTGTTGCATCATAAGTTTTGGCCTTATATCAGCACGGTGGTTGTCGATGTTGTATTAATTATTAAAAGATTACCCGACAGAGTTATCTTTTTATTAGACGATTTGGACGTAGTGTCAATTATTATTAAATATTATTATATATATGAGTTACTTGAGTTATAGTTGAGTATTATATTATCATTATTTTGATTTTTAGGTGTTGTCGTCACTAACTCATAGTTTGTCTTTATTATTATTGCGTTTGTGAAGGACAGCATTTTCCGAAACACCTTAATATTATTATTATTGTTTATACAAGTATGGACCTTATGCCCCTGCCGCCCACTTGGGTTTTAATAATAATAATATTAAGTGCGCCTTTAAGGCAGACAGGTACACCCTAAGTGCCGCAACAACCACAAACAAGGTAATAATAATAAAGAGACAAAATATAATAATAGTTAGTGGTAATTGTTTTATAAAAATCAAAATGGAGAAATATTCACAATATAATATAATATAATAAATTTAATATGTGGCCATGTGTATAATAATAATAATAATATTTAATAATAATTTGACACTACGGACCCGTCGGTCCTAGTAAAAAGGAATACAAATATTTGGTCGACCAATACTCACAATGTGGCTATGTCAGGTAATGCGCGCACCGGTTACGTAATAATAATTAATACAATAAAAAAAAATGACAGCCGCGTGCGCGATTAGCTAGCCACAGCCACCAACGATGAACTCAAAAACAAGATGAAACACTGAATGCAGCCGGGACAGGATCTTTAGCAAACGCTACTGTCCCCACGTGCCACGAGGTACACCAAAACACGTTGAATCACTACACAAATCGCTGGTAATATTGACCACCCTACAACTGGGGAAAACAAATTAGTGATGGCAATGAAATTGCAAATGAACGATAATTACCAGACGATTAATCACGAATTCAACAACAACGTGGTTTGGGACGACTGCATACAACACATGAAAAACCTGATGAACAATGAAAAATGAACGAAAACACACGATGCTGACTGTACAGCGAAAGAAAAAAGAATGATTTGAATTCACAACTGACATGACGAAGAAACCTAGATGAATGGGCTTTCAGTGTCACCACACTAAACAATGAAAACTGGAAAAACTGAGAACTTTGTGACACTGAAAGCATGACTAAAAGACAAGTAACTTTTAAGTTTGAACATTAACGAATCTTTGAAAACATGAACTGATAATGATTCCACAGCTGGCCGGTCGCACACGAATGCTTGATAAGCATCGCCGACGAAGGCTGCAACTGTGGAACGCACCGTTACGTGCACATGAAAATGATAACATATAAACAAATGAAATGAAATGAAACATGTAAAATTGAATGCCAACACTAGCTATGTGTTCCATCACCGTGTGGATGGCAAAGCTCGTACATGATCGGCTAGTGCACAGTTTTGACGCTTTATTTTTGTTATGCCACGTGGTTTGTTAAAAGTGAATCGGTATTGTTGTTATAGGATTTTTATACGTCAAAATGCCAAAATTAAGCCAGGCGCTGGGAATAGCTGGCTTGTTATTCTAGCTTGAAAAACTAACTTCGTGTATTCCGGGCTTAATATTAGTAAAAAAACTAAAAATTACCTAATAATCTATACCGATTATAAATACTGTATAAACAGTAAACACACTGTGTAGATAGATACCAACCACCCTAAACATCCATCAGTAAAGTTAAGGTCGATCGACTACGTTCTGCTACAAAATATGTTTTGTCGCGATCGCTCCCACAAGTATTGCGGTTGTCGGCCGCGACTCGTGAAAAGTCAGCGATTAAATGTTACCCAATAGTAGTTGTTATCACTTATCAATGATTAATGAGATAATTATTATTATAGTGAGATGCGCACAGGTGGTTGCACATGAATTGCGTCCCGATATATTAAAATCGATAAGTAGATATACGAATTGCGTCCGAATTTATTTATACGACTGTTTTATATCATATTTTTCCCCCAGTTCTATTTCAAATGGTAATTGGTAAGGTAACTTTTAAGCAGATTATACTTTTAGTTTGTATACGGGAAGGAAAATTATGTTTTTATGTTGGGACACAACTCGTGTACTCCATAAATATCGCTGGTACGCAATTCATGTGGAAAATGGATTTTAGGTATCATTCGTGTGCACCAGTACAGGTTATACCATAAATAATAATAAATATTCAACGCCGATACTTATAAAATTATAAAGACGATAAAGAGTAGCCGAAACGTATAAAATAATACCTAGTTATACAGATACAACATTTTAATACACATAATATAGTTACCAATTACTAAGAAAAAATTACGAATTACAAAAAAATGAGACCATTTTGAAAACCATAGGACAGATATTTAAAATTTCGGGTGCTGGAAGAGCGTTCTTATAGCATCCGTAAACCAAAAATAAATTTTCCAAGGCCTCATACAAATTCTGAATTTAAGGTTACAAAGAATTAAGAATTATTTACAAAAAAATGAGACCATTTTGGTTTCAAAATTTTAGGGAGCGGGTGCCAGGAGTACTTACCTAACTACACAGGCGTCACGACGGTGGACGGTCTCGGGAGAATGCAGTCGGACTGCCCCTGCTGTTCTCCGTGCGGGTCTCCACATGAATATAAAATCTCTGTTTACGGAACACCGAGAAAGACAATCGTTTTTTGGGCGCGGGCGGCCTCTGCACGAAGACGCGCGGCGGCTGGAAACCCGATAGCTAATGGCGACGTGCTATAGATATATCGTCATGGAACCGGACGAATACAAGTCGTCGGTAGTGTGCGCGAGCGAAGTAATGCTATTTTTACCTCGAGATACCTTTGGAAGTAATCGAACGTGAATCAGGGCTTAGGACTATTCAAGAGATATCGACACTAAATACACTTATAAATCTTATTTAACAAAAAAAGAAACGGCACGACTATTAGTATTCAAAGCATACAATTATGTGGAATAAATACGTGTTGTAATTGTATAACTCATAATAAAGTGTTATAGGTACGATAATATAACATCAAACATAACTTTATTTTCAATTGACAATGGACTTCACACGATTAAATAGATATCTAGATCACAGAATAATTCTTTATGTTGCGGGATTTAATATATAATATGGATCATTCTTCACTGTGGTAACAGATAGATAATTTTATTGTTAAAAACCACAGTGAAAAACTACAAAAACGATCCTTGAACTGCTTTATTTTAAATATATGTATCTACTGATCATATCGATTATTCCTATTATATTATGAAAATTAAATTGAATGTAGAAGCGATCCAATTAATCATCAACTATAATTTTATATTATTTTGCTTATTATAGACAATTAACTGTATGACGCCTAATATTAAAATACAACGAAACAACGAATTTCATAAATTTAAGTGGTGTAATTGTGCAAGGTTGAAATATATAAATAAAAACACTTTGAATTGCAAATGACGTAACAATACAGTATTGTTCCAGATTATTTATTACAATGATATTGAATAATTGATAAACAAATTAATTTATTATATAAAAACAAGGTACAATGTTCTAAGTATCTTTACATATTTTGTTTCAGTTAGTGCAAATTACTTTTTATAGTTATACACGAATAATATACGTCTAAAAGTTTGTGTAATGAAAATAATATTTAATACTATAAATCAAATTTAGAGTGAAGCAAAAGAACAATGAAATATTTATATTTATATTTATGTATTTTTATTTTTATTATTTTTAAGTTTGTGTTTGTTGATGGTTCCGAGTTGAAAAAAAATAAGTTTTTTCCAAATTTACCAGTCGTAAGTTCTGATTTTTTTATTACTTCTTTTTACTCGCATATTTTGGTTTAAATATGTATTATTGTTCATTATTATAGTTTTTATGAAATAATTTTAAAATAAGCACAAGTGATGAATAATAGTAATTAGTAGTCAAGGGATTTAATTGAAAAAACCATCCACAGATCACAAAACGCAATGGCTATGGTACTACTCTCAGCGGGGAGAGACCAAGGTATATTTTTGTACAAGTTCACAAGACCTGACATCATTTTTGTTTTTATTACATTCTTTAGGAAATGATGACTAAAATTCGATTAATATTTAGTATGCCTACATAGGTAGTACATATTCTTATTAGCTATTAATACGTAAGGGGGTCTAATTTTTAATATAAACTTCTTTTCCCTCTGCTTAGAAATTTATTACGATAATTCTATGTAGAAGTATAAACATAATTATATCGCCATCACGTTATTTTAAAAATAATAATTTAAATGTTTTTCTAGGATGAATATCAAGTAATTATTAAAGCAATCATAATTTGTAATTTACCAGATGATAATTTGATAAATAATTTATATTTGAGTAAAACATCTAGTAACACAACTGAACTAAGAGGAAATATCACACTAAAAAAACCATTAGATGATAATTTAAAAGTAAGTTATTAATAAAATATGATAATTAAAGTAAAAAGTTAGGTAAAAATTATTGTTTTTTTTTTTTTGCTTTTTCTGATATTTAATTTCGCTTATGGTATTTGTATTTGTGTTTTTGAAGAAGAAAAAGGTCCACAAAAGTATTTATGATAAAAAAAATCATCAAATGTTCTTTTATTCTTTTTTCAACAAATTGGAAAAAATATAATCTAAAACCAAATAAAAATTTTAAAAAAAAATGTACCTATTACAATAAAAAACTTATGTACGTGAACATAAAAATAAAATTCAATATTTCAAGCTTTTAGTGTTAAAACAATCTCTAGTGCTCACTCACTAATAATTTGAGTAATATTCGAATACCTATGTTAACTATTGGCATCGAATGTCATTGTTTGAGTAACGTGATGAAATTAATCAGATGTTTAATCGGAATACCTAAATATTCTTTACTCGGTCGCTCACAATTTCATGGTCAAGAAAAAGTCAAAAAAATTATAACAATTTTGTCTCTTAAGAGTTAAGAGATTAATTATATTATTTTTTAAAGGTGCATATGAATATGGCTGTTAAAGACTCAGTCGGAGGCTGGAAAAACAATGCTCATTTAATAAGATTTCAAAAGGCTTGCTCTCAATTAAAGAATATTTTAGGAGAAGAGTGGCGAGTATACTTGAAATCTTTTGGAATTAATAGCTTTGATTGTCCAATTGTCCCGGTAATTTTTTTTTATTATGCTTTACCTACATTTGAATTAGATATTGAAATTACCAATCTTTTATTATTACACATACTATATTTATATGTAACTATTTAATATTTGCATAAGCAATATATTTTGATCTTTACGATAAAAAAATGTTTAATCAGACCAGTAGTGTAAGAAATGAAATTTATTCATGTTTTTAGTTATCTATTTTAAAAGTGCTATGATTTTTTACAGTTTATTGATTGTTCAATATTTGTTTAAATAATTGTAATGTTGTATTGTAGAATATATCTATTATCCTTTAACTGGTAAAAATATCAGATTTAATTTTAAGGTTTTTGATAAAAAAAAAAAAAAAATAGGGATACATATTTCTTGTTTGTACTCGTATAATATTGTATAATACTCTATATATTAGAACCTACCTATACTATATAGATTATAAATTATACTTTACTATAATAAAAAATACAAATTTTCATTTTACTTTCAGGGATTTTACGTGTCAAAAGGCTACGATCTTACCAATGCTATAAACCGTTCCAATTTTCCAAAAAATTTTTTTTATGGAACTTACAAAACTAGTTTTCATTTTACAGATAAATTTAATGAAAAATTCAGTTGTATAACTTTTGTTATAGAAGTAAAACGTCTATGGGAAACAGAATAAATTATTTATTATTAATAAATTATGTATTTAAAATTTATAGAATTTGTAGTAAATTATCCATATGATCAATAAGAATTATAATCTAACACTTTTTGTTTTTATTTGAATCGATGTATATTTTTTTGTATCATGTGACTTTTTAGAATTTTATTTGTTGACATGGTTGACTTAGTCGATAAACTCAAAGTTTTCTTTACAAGGAATGGTGTGAAAATATCCACATCATCGGAGATACCATTTTTCATCGAATTTATCATTTTTCTCAACTATAATATATACTATTATGAGTAATGTTATGGTAATCAGGTGCGTCACCGTTCGTGTTCCAGTGAAATTTGTTATAATAAGTTTAGAAGTTCCGTGGTTATTATTATTTTTGTTAATTTTTATATATCTACATATATATTTATTATACTATTATATAAAATTGTAGGGGGTTTTATACCACCGCGCTAACCAAGAAAACTTCTGAACCAATTAGGCTGACATTTTTTACTATTATACCTGATAGTCTGTTGAAGGTTTGTGAATAAAATATAAAATAAATTAAGAAAAATCAGAATTATTTTGTGTATCCAATATTATTATTATCAAAATTATTGTGTTGTAACCATGGTTATCATTGAAAAACTTATGCTGTAAGAGTTATTATAATTATACGGAATAAAATTTTGAAAATATCTAAAATAATTTAAAAATATTAATCTATTTATACCCCATGCATTTATTTACATTGTTTTATAGTAAGATTTAACTAACTCAAAAGTTGATAATTAAGTTCTTGAAAAATTAAAAAACAAAGCTAATTTTTAGGGCCTCTCTGCGAAATCCGCAAGTACAGACCTTTTTTATATTCCAATTTTTTTAATGACACTATTTAATATTTTTCCAATTTTTTTTCAAAAGGTTATACCAAATAGTTAATACCACTAGAAACATTTCAATACGTTTTCATCAACCATTTTTTATCACATAATTAAACGATAACATTTGAATAAAACATTCTACATTTCAATAATATATCATCGTCTGAAGGCAAAATAAACTAAAACAAACTATTTCAATCATACTCGTGAATTTAAAATATGATACATATATTTTAAAAGCACTAAAAGCGTGTTTTAATTGACCCACAAGTTTTTTATGATATAAGCGTTGTATAAATTAACGATATTTCAGCTATTGATAAATTATATGTAGTTTGAAGTTTTAAATGTATGTTAAGAGTTTTATCGATTTTAAAAATAAATTTCAAAAATATTTTAGCGGATTAATTTTGTTTATTTGAGGTCTATTTGACCGTTTGTGTTTAATTGATACATTATACTTATTATTATTTTATTAACATTTTTTTGGTTTTTTTTCCTCAATTTACAAGTGAAATCGTTAATTTTAAACACTTAGTTTAATAATTTCACACGGTTGAATCCGAACCAAAAAGAACTGGTATCTTTTAAATGTTCAAATTGAAATTTTACAGGTTTGGTTTTTATTATATATATATATATTATATTCCTATAGATTTCAGTAATTTCAATAGCCAAAAAATAAATATTATTTGTTTAATTATTTTATATAGCTTGCTTTTCATGATGAAATAACAATAAATTAAGCTAAAAATAACACGATTTCAATTTGAGTGATTCATTATTAAATTCAAACATATATATTTTTTTCAAAGTAAACATAAACGTATAAATTGAGTTTTGATTACATAGTGAAAAATATACCTATGTATTTATATTTTTAATACTTGTTTATCAAGTTATTATTATCAATATTGGTAAAAAACCTTTTTTTTTGCAGTTTTACAAAATAATTAATGTCTTTGTCCCTATGCCTGCAGCTTCGCACGTGGTGCATGAATATCGTTTCCGTCTTTATTTATCGACTGAAGCATACCTTCAACTAAGCACGTTAACAGAAAAATATTATTTTTATGGTGGGGAGGAGAGGAATGTTCACATGTAAAGAAAGAATTGTATAGTTAATAAATAAAATATTGTTAGTAGTGTGTCATCGTGTATTTGTTTGAAATCGATATTTTTGAAAAGCACAATAAGATCTATTGTGAATAATTTCCGTATGAAAAAAAATTAATGTTGATAATATAAACCAATCGTTCAAGTGTCCATTTCGTTATAGTAATAGTTACATATCACACGTTTCATTCTTAATTTAATGAATATTATAAATTTAAATCAAATTAAAACCGCGGAGGCAGATGTTTCATGACAGGAAATTATTCTACGTACTTACCTATGATATGTAATTACGTGCGCATATATTATAGGTGGATGTGTTCATAAATCTTCATTAGGTATATTTACACTGGCAAGCGTGAGAATTATATTGTATAATGTTTTAACGGTCCACACAGACGTACCTGTAATAAGTATGTGCTTTTACTTTGTCGTGTATCTACGCGAGTCGCAAAAATTATGTATTCTGATTTTAGACTTCAGCTCTTTCTGAATATTCCACATCGACTTATAGCTAGCAATCACTCACTACTTACCATTCACTAGTTTTATCTACCTAATACGTTTGAATTGTTTTTATTTGTCAACGGTGTATCCATTGTACAGCCACGCCTTTCATAAACATTGTTTTTATAAAACGTAATTGGGCGTCCCACGTCACAGTATTGCTTATAAATAACCAACAATAACGCGTTATAATGTTTCGTAAATATAACTATTAGAGATGATTCGCTGTATTCTAAGTTTGGGCGTTTAAAGCTTAAACTCCGCCGTTCTCGAAATGATGGCATGCTGCGATATTATTTTGATGATCGCGCGCTAAAACACGTGCAAAGAAGTCTTTGACTTAACGTCTTCGCGCTGGCTCGTATCCGCGGAGCGCTACCCGTCACTTACCACCCCCTCCCCAAAGCGTTGTTCCTACCGCGCTGCTGATCGAGGCACTTACGCCCGTCTCACAGCGCCTGCAGACGATCGAGTCAGTCGAATCAAACGCAACCAAACGACGGGTTCGATACGCGACGGTTGCCGCATTTTTTTTTTACTTCTTCAGACCCTCCTCAACTGCCCACGTAATATAGTACATATTGTGTTACGCCGAGTCGTTGTCGAAATGTTACAATATCGCGGCGGCCAAGCGGCACCGCACTCTTCAGCCGCCGATACGGCAGCATTGCGGTGACCGTATACCGAACAGATCTGTCCGCCGTGGTTGCGTAACGTGTCGGAGTAACGTCTGCGCCGACTGTCGCCGATCCTGCAGCGTGTTACGTTCGCGTGTGTGCCCGCAATGTGGTCACCGCCGCCGCCGCCGTCGAACCCCGTCAAATTTGGGTGGGGGTAGGGGTAACTTTATAATTATAATTATGATAAATATACAGACGTTTGGTAACGAGCGGCACGATCTCCCGTCCGTTTTCAATTTTCACCCTTTTCAAGTGCCGTTCAAAGAGCTAGGTTACGTTTTCCCAGACCACAGTCGCGAGGTAAACTGCAAAAATTTTTAAGATAAAGGTCCAGCGGACTTCTATGATAGTTTCAAATTTTAAATTATATAACGTTATAAACGCGATTTTTACAACGACTGCAGAATTGAATACAGAAATCGTGTTTTATTGTAAAGAACATTCTGAATACGACTACGACCAACGACAGCGGTCAAATAACAAATAATATTACGTATTATATTATACCACGTAAATACTAAGTACCTATCTACTAATAAAAAAAAAAGTTTTTTTTATAGTTTTATTTGAGTTAACATATTATTAATTATTACATTATTAATTATTCTGCGGAATTTTATTCATGCATTAGTTGGGTTATCAAATTGATTATCTGAAAATCAAAGTGGTATTAACGGCGATTGTAAACTGCACCCAAAATACAAATATACTCAAAATCACAAAATGTAAACTGCACCCGGCTAAAATTTTAAAAATCAATAGCTATATTTTGCAAAATTATCTTTTATGTATACTTAATTGATTATAACCATATATCTAATATAAATAATTAAAATTAAAATTGAATTAAGAATTAAAAAAAAATACATAATTTAAAAAAGTTAAATAATTACAAATATTACAAATATGTAATAAGTAATAACATATTGTTGTTACATAGTTTGACCACTATTATATTTATTGATTAAATATTGTAACTTTTCGCTTTTTTTTTTTTGTTTTAGAATGCAATAGTTATTTGATAACACGTTATGATTTCTAGAAGAAAATAAAACTTTTGTGATATAATTTAAAAAGTACACAATCATAGAGATTTTAATAAGTCAAAAGTTTTGTATATTTTACAAACGGGGCACAGCTTAAATTTTCGGTTGCAGTTTACATTAGACCTTTTTAACAGATACAATTTCTGGCGCTTTTTACAAAACAAACGGTCATTTGGGCACCGTTTACGTATGCTCCACAAATGTGTTGTCCAAGACTCCCGAATTTATATTCATTCCCTAGATTAAATGATATTGTAATCTTTTTGTTTGAACTGTAAAACTTTTGAGCTAATTCTCACCGTACGCATTGATTTATTTTATGTAAGATTGAAAACAACTGATGTTTAAATATGTGTTGTACAGCTTATTCCGCTCAAGCATATTATGGTTCATAAAGACAGCCAGTTTAATATTTAAAACGAAGACAACACAACTGACCCAAATTATTTAATTTAATTTAATTATTTTGTATTCAATACATTGACTCATTGTTACAGCATTCAAACAACTAACATTATAATATTATTTTATGATTAGTTACACTCCGTTTGATATTGAATATAGACACTATTTCATTACTACTACAGAATTTTTATTTAATTCTTAAATGCACTTATACACATTACATACCTGGACTTGCAAGATAAACAAATTAATCGTTTGAAATGCCTGATAACATAAAAATGACTAATAATGTATACCTATTGGTAAAACACTATAATTATGTAACTTTTTTGATTAAATATAAAAATATAATATAACAAATTAAAAATTTTTACACACAG